GATCTGTGTGTTCATTTTGGTACTCCTATAGTAAGCCTTTCCTGAAGTACCTTGTTGTTTTTAATTTTCTACCATGTTTGTGAGTAAATGAGGAGATGAATGACCCATAGATAATTGGCTACTTGATCTAAGCTTCTTACAAAACCAATGTCTGATTCTTATTTTAAAATAATCCAACTAAAGGCAAATAAACAAACCTTCTGTGAACACAAAGAGCTGAGTGCAATGGCGATAGGTCCTGGGTGTCTGGGGAGGGCAAGCTGGTTTTTAGGTTTCTTGCTGTGGTGTACACGTGGGGAGTGGGTGGGCAAACCACACTTCCCTTCTACAGAAATAAAAGTGCTTTTTATTGTTGAGCAAACATACCATGTTAGGAATCCTAACCTTATACAAATAGGTCGTTCAAATTCATTAGAGAATGATATTCCAGGTTTAGCTATGGAGGCTGCCAATTCTTGATATATGTAAGTATCTTTGAATTAAAAGATATCAATTGATTTAGTTTTCATAGGGACATTTTTTAAATTAATTACTCAGGTTATTATCCTATAACACTTTTTTTGCTTTCTTTGTCTGATGATTCTGAGCCTAAGATCTTTCCAGGGTCCTACTAGAAAAGAGCTCCTACTTCCAATATAGCCTTCTTTGGGGATTTTTTTCTTCCTCCTCCATTCTGGTTTATACATCAACATCATCCCGAGGTACTCATTATCCCTCTTCTTATGAGGAGTTATTCCACTTAGTACTTTCTCAGTCTACTTTCAATGGTATTTTCATACCTATGTGTCAGTCTGCCATTTCAAACAGTAAACTACCAAATTTACTTTTCCAAATATCTAACTAGTAAAGCTGTGAACCTTCACACTACTAGATAAAAGTTTTAAATTATTTTAATAAATTTAGGCAAAAATGATGTAAGAAGGGAAGGAAATAGGATTGGCGCTTGTTAGTCACCTAGTGAGTGACCAGGACTAAATGAAAGGGCCTTTACTTTTATGACCTCACTGAATCTGCACAATAACTATATATGGTGCCAGTGCCACTGCTTTTAAAAGATATATATTGAGACTCAGGCAGTTTAAATAAATTGTCTAGATCATAGGACTAGTGAGCAGCATGGTATGTCTATGGCTAAATCACCTTCTTGTTCCTTCACAGCGTATGAAATGATTTTGAGTGGTTTAGACTGGATGCATTAACATTGTAAACTGTTATTATCATCTTTTTACAGGCAAATAACATAAGACATAGTAGATTTTATTTTACTTCCAATCTCCAAAGTCATAGAATTCCTATGGAAATGGAAGATTTAAAAAAAAAAATGAACTTAAAGTCTGGCATAAATGGTGGAACACACAATGTATCCTTGCCTTTCATCAAACCCAACCAAGAGATACCCTTTTCCTCTCTTTAGTTAGATTTTACAAAGACAGTGATAAATGTGTAAATGTTTGTGTTCTTCAAAGTAAAATCAAAGCCCAAACAAATATGTTATGCACTGGTGCTCACCAAATATGTGACAGTGATATAAAGGAGGATAAACTTAGTTCAATCCTCCCTCACTATATCCCCCTACAGTTAAAAATGTGAGAAAAAATAGCTTACGTGTTATGCTCTGCATTCAGTCATATGATATTCTCAGTGTATGTGAATCTTACAGTCTTATTTCTTCCTAAATGGTCTTTTCCATATACAAAGGGAGCTTAAAAATAGCAAACAACAACAGCTACAAACAAACTCTTTCTGAAGGATGGTTCATGAGCAAGCACCATGTTACATTTTTCATAGAAAACAGAAATTCCAGTAAATAAAATGACCACAATGACCAGGTTTCTGGTCAGTTTATTATTAAAGAAAGACCTTTCATATGTGGTTCACATATAAATGGTCTTTATGCTAGGACATTACGAAAACAGACCATTGCTGTTTTAATATGGTTGGGTATAAATCTGCCATATTCTTTTTTCTTTTTGTTTGTTCAATCTACTATTTGTTAACTTTACACACTTATACCACATCTGCTTGAAGAATTGAGTATTTATTCTAATTTACCTCTTTATTGCCTTATTTACCATGCAAATCTTTGGTTTTTAGTGGGTGCTCTAGATCTTTTATTTCTATTGATTGATTTTCCTCTTCATTACAGGTCATATTTTACAGCTTCTTCCATGCCTGAGAGATTTTTTTACAGGATGCCAGACATTGTGAATTTTATGTTGGATGCTGGCTTCTTCTTCTTTTTTTTAATTCCTTAAATATTTTGGAGCTTTGCTCTGGAATAAAATTGTCACTTGTTTTATCCATTTGATGCTTGCTTTCCAACATTTGAGTTTAGGATAGAACAGCCTTTTATTACATGGCTAATTTATACTACTTCTACAGTGTAGACTTTTGAAGACTTTGCTTGATGCATATGTATTAGGAGATGTTTCCATTCTGGTTGGTAAAAACAAAACTATTTCTAGCCTTGTGTGAGCTCTGAGGATTATTCTGCCCACAAATTTCTGATGGTTCTTTGCTCAGTTTTGTTGGTTGTTTTCACATGCATGCACTGAGCACTCAACTATAGGTCTAGGGAAACCCTCTCAGGAGGGCTCTTGAGGATTTTTTTCTTCCCCACAAATCCTAGTTGCCTTGGATTCCTGAACTCCAAACTTGGTCTCTTTTACTCAGGAAAACCTCACACTCCATTTTGGTTCTCCCTCTGAGATGGTTAATTGTGTGTCAACTTCACTGGCCTAAAGGATTCCCAGACAGCAAGCAAAATATTATTTCTGAGTGTGTCTGTGAAGGTGCTTCCAGATGAGATTACCATCTGAATCAGTAGATGCAGTAAAGATCACCTTCACGAATATGGGTGGGCATTATCCAATCCATTGAGGGCCAAATAGAACAGAAAAAAGTGGATGAATGGCATATTTGTTCACTATTCTTGAACTGGAGCATCCATCTTCTTCAGCCCTTGGACATCAGAGTTCTTGGTTCTTGGGATTTTTACTCCAGGACATACACCAACAGTTTCCCTGGTTCTCAGGCCTTCAGACACAGATTGGGAGTTATTCTATGGGTTCCCCTAGTTCTCAGGAATTCAGACTCAGTATGAATTACACCATCAACTTTCCTTGTCCCCCAGCTTGCAGATGACAGGTAGTTGACTTCTCAGCCTCCATAATCATGTGAACCAATTCCCATAAGACAAATCACTCATCTTTTATCTACAGTCTATCTATCTATCCTCAGTCATGTATTGGTTCTGTTTCTCTGGAGAACCCTAATCCCCTCTCGACAATCTTGTCTGATAATTCTCCAGCTAACATACTGTGGCTCTCATAGGTCTTACCTTATATCTTTTCTTTCTCTCAAAGATCACTATTCTTCACCATCTGTTGTCTAATGTCTGAGATCTACTGATTCACATATTTTAATTTATTTTAGTTGCTTCCAAAGGGGAATAAATTCAGTTCCAGTTGCTCTAGAAGTCTGTGATTTTTAGTTATTTTATGTTGATTTGCATTTGGTAAAAACAAATAAAACAGCTGTTGGAGTATGAATACAGACAGCTTTGCTTTCCAGTCCTCTGCATTTTAGGTCAAAATAAATCAATCCAAAGATCACAAGTCATGAAATAAAATTTATCTTAAAGAATACCATACATCTTCAGAAAAAATAAGAGCAAACATAGCTGGGGCTGGGGCTGGGGCTCAGTGGTAGTGCCTGGATGTGTGAGGAACTGGGCTCAATTCTCAGCACCATGTATGAATAAATGTCTATCAACAACTAAAAAAATTATTAAAAAAGAGCAAATATTGAAGGATATATGGCTTATGTCTAATATCTTTGTTGTTTTGACATTACATCCAGAAGTTTGACACAGCCTTATTTTATACCTGATGAAAGACATTTTATCATAAAGTCTTTTTCTCAAGTATTCACTCATATTTGAGATATATTTTAATATAAAAGACAGCAAGGAGGAAAAAAAGTTTAGTGTTCCACATACATAAATGAGCTGCTGTTTTGATAAGCAGTGTACTGGGAAGTGAGGCTCACTGCCCACCAAAAATAGCTTTTGGGTAATTTAAGGACCAAACACAATCAAATAAAAATATAGTGGCTATTCATTTTGTGAAGCCAAGAAAAAAATAAAAAATCAGGAGACTTGCCAGCTCTTTAGACTTGGATGATACAGCTTCAGTGAGTCAGAATGTCAGAAAAACACGACAGTTATAGTTTGCATTCAATAATCCACTGGCTTGTAGAGCCTTCAAATTCAAGAAAACCTTTGTGTTCATTTTGAAAGCCCAAAACATTATCAATGGGCCATGTTTTTCTTGTTACATGCCAGGAAAAATAAGTTCTATTTTTTTCACATTTTATCGAATACTTCAAACCAAGCTGTGTGTGCTAACTATTGAACCATACAATGATGAAGTTTTATTCCTTGAAGATTTTGTAATTAAGAAGTGGTTTAAAAAGGTATGTCCAAACTTTCACCAACCACATCACAATGTGTGAAGTACTGAAAGGATGATCTGGAGTAGAATCTCTAGGGAAGAGACCTTACCAGAACTGGTCTCCAGGGCAAGCTTCCCCAAAGCAGGTGGCCTTTAAAGTACAATGGGGGAGGGTGGCAGATGTCCAGAGGAGGACACAGGTGTGGGATGACAACTTACTAAGGGCAGAGGGAGCAGATCATAAGATGGTTATTTAAAAACGTAAGTACCTCCGTGTATATTGAAAGTTCACTGGAAAAAAAAATGGAAGAAGCTGGAGAGAAAAAGCTGATCACAGAATTATCAGTGGCTTTATAGGGCAGCTTTATATGGAGAACTCCTTCTGAATTCTCCTTGTTGCTTTGCTTTTTATAGGAGAAGTTTGGGAAATCGACCCAGACTGGATGAATATGCAGAATTGTCACATGGAGTCTAAATTTGAAGTGTAAGATATTCATAGAGCATGAGTGGGGAAACCAGATAGTCAGAACTGAGAGACCGTATGACCCAAGGGATGTTACAGTGTCCTCCATGGCATGCGGATGGAGTCAGTGCTGAATTTGGATGCAGGAGTTCCCACTGAGTGCATTCTAAATCCCAGGTATGTCTTTGAATCACTTTTTGGAAATTTTGTTCTTATTATGCCATCAAAGAACTGGAATTATTATCTGAAATTGCAAATTAAAAGTAGCTTAGAAGTCAGAATTTAAAAAAATAAGAGGAGGGAGAGGCTTAAAACATATTAGAAAAATTAATCACATTCAAAGTTAAATTTAGCAGGAACCTGAATAACAGGCCAACAAAATTTGCTGATCCATCAGATGTTCAGATATAGAGTGAAAAAAGAGCATAGAATTAAGGAAGACTCAACTCATGAAAACAGTTGACTAAGAATGTGACAGTTCTATTAATGGTAAGGAGAGATTTAGAAGAGGAGTTAATTTGTGTGGAAGGCTTAGCCATCTTAGATTAAAGAGGTCCAATAGAATGGTTAGAACACAGTCTATACTGCAGGCACTTTGCTAAGCATTTTACACACAAAAAAAAATCTATTCAATTCTTACAAATACTTTATGAAGTAGAAATTATTATTATTGCCCCTATTTTATTAAGAGTAAAACCAAGACTTAGAAAAATTAAGAATAATCATGCATTATATGATGACATTTTGATTGATGATGGACCACATATATAATAGTGGTCCCATGAGATTATAATAAAACTGAAAAATACCTATCTCATATGTCATGGAAGTCATGGTAATATTAGAATACAGCACATTGTTCATGTGCTTGTAGGGCTGCTGGAATAATAAAGCTACTATGCTGTCAGCTGTATAAAAGTTTAGCACATACAATTAGTATATAGTATATCACATTTGATAGTGATAATAACTATGCATTTATATATTTACAGTAATTCTTATTGTTATTTTAGTGTATAATCTTTTATTTATAAAAAAGGAAACAATTTGCAATAAAACATATGTTGTGCTATGCTGGCAGAAGTTTTTTTGTTTTTTATGGCCCTAAGAGCAATAGGCTATGCCACACAGCTTGAGTATTTAGACGGATATACCATTTAGGTTTGTGTCAGTACAGTCTATGATGTTTGCACAATGATGAAATTGTTCAAAGGTGCCCTTCTCAGAATACATCCCCACTACATTGCTATCATTTGCTAATTGTGTCAACATTCACTAGTGAGTGGCAAAGTCCAAAATCTCCTGATGCAAAGCTGACCAACCACTGAATCAATGGACAAGTTCCAATCAAAAGGCCAGATCTCAAAGCCTATTTGAGTCATCTTTCTATTCATGAGAGAAGGAACTACAGGAAGAAACTAAAGTTGTTCAAAGGGAATATGGAGAGATTAAAAGAAAGGCAGCTATGACCAGGACATTGGGATGACCCAATATGATTGAATAATGAGAAACAGAAGAAAAAAACTTGGAGAAGGTGAGAAATCAGAGAAAGGAGAAGCAGATCTGACTCACAGAAAACCAGAAAAAAAATTTCAGGATAAATTCATAGTCCTGAATGCAGCTGCTGCCAACGGGCAATGACAGCTGAAAAGTTTTTGAGAATTTTGGGATAATAATTACAAATAAGCAAAAGATGCTTATTATATGCCAGAAATTGTTTTAAGTACTTTACAAATATTAATCATAACTATCACAAGTTTATTATCCCATTTTACAAATCAGAAGTTGATGTACAGAGAGACAATGCTTTGTGGAAATAATTAAATGGGAAGCCATTAAACCTGAGGTGATCCTGATGCCCTGCGTAGGTAGCCAAGCCTGAAACCTAACTCAGAATTTAGAAGAAAATAAAAGTTAAGCTCAGCCAATGACAGATGAGTAACTGGGCACTTGTCAAATTGCCTTCAACATCTCACCAGGATAATCCAAAGAAGGTATTGTTGAATCTTTAATCCATTTGGTAATTTCTTTGCCCTTCTGCGCTCACTCACCCTTTAAAAGCTTCCCCTCATTCCCTTTGTGGGAAATGGGAAACACTTGTATTTTGGAGCTCCCTGATTCATGAATTGCTGTCAGCTTCAATAAGCTCTTTAATATTTTAATGTGCCAAAGTTTATCTTATAACAGCTCCAGATCACTCGGCTAGTCAGCAGCAGAGCCTGATCCCACCCTTGGGTCTAGTCCAAGCATTCTTCATCACAGGGAGAATGGCACCAGCACTGCCCCCAATGTGTTAAGAAATGACTAAACAATATCATCTCCTGTCTTGCTCTATACCAGTGGCTTATGGGAGAGCCTGGATCAGGGATCCACCTTTCTTGAAGAATCATTTCTTTTTTAAATGCCAATGAATTAGAGTCCAGAAAGTATACAGCCTCTGTGGCTCTGAGAGCATCTGGACTCTTGACGTGTGGGCCACAGCCTTGAAGGTCAAGTTCACTACTTCTGTGAGGTTTTCTATGCCTTTCTAACATATTTCCCCCAACGCAGCAGAGAGGTCAAGTGGACCCACATCTTTGGGAAGAGGGAAAAGAGAGAATGCTAGAGAACAAGGGTTGGAGTCAATAGTCAGTGATGAACAAGAGGAGGCCCCATGGTCAAGTACAAGAATCACTTTCTGTGTCAGCCTTTTAGTACCCGCTTTGAGGCCTAGCACACACAGGCTGAGCCTTAGTTCTATCTAACCAGAGAAGCAGCTGCTGGCACCAACGGAAGGGATAGATCATAAATAACTCTTACCAGTTTTCTATCACCACAGGATCATCCTCTCAGGCATCTCTTATCTCTCCTAATCATTAATTCATTTGAGAGGAGGCATTGCTTTGGTTGAAAAACGCAGCATTTTTCCTGGGAGGAATGCTACCTTAGCCCATTATCTGGCACAAAGTGGGAGTGAGATCATCCTGGAGATTTTGAAAGAGCTTTGATTCAGAAGAGGGACTAACCAGCATTTGGTTGACTGCTCTTACCAGCTTGAAGCCTCAAAGCCATGAATTCTTCATGCCTTGTATTTCTGGGGTCTCCACAACCTACCCATCTGCTTCTTTCTTAATATTCTCTCCTTGTTTGTCTTTGCCATTTTATCAAAGAAGCATTCACTAGGACTTCCAATGATGGAGTCTATGTACCAAAGAGAAGGCAAAACCAGACAGGGAAGATGGGTCCCTGCCCTTCCCTGGTGGAGGCTGGGGTATGTGTGGAGAGGTTTGGGTCCTTGAAATAGTAGTTGGAGGCCAGGCATGGTGGTGCATTCCTATAATCCCAGTGACTGGGGAGGCTGAGGCAGAAGGATCGAGAGTTCAAAGCTAGCCTCAACAAAAGCAAGGTGCTAAGCAACCTGAGAGATCCTGTCTTTAAATAAAATAGGGCTGGGGATGTGGCTCAGTGATTGAGTGCTCCCAAGTTCAATCCCCAGCACCAAAAAAAGAAAAAAATAGGAGTTGGAAAAATTAAAAACAACTCCATTTCAGTGTTTCCCAAACTTTTGAAGCACACTGGAATCACCTGGGGTTCTTTGAAAAGTATGGTCACCAAGTTCCTACTCCCAGACACTCTGATTAAACAGGGAAGGATGGACATTGGAATTTCAAAGAGCTCCACTGAGTCCTGACATGCAGTAAATTTAGGAACCACCATACTATATCACACTTAGCTCCTCGGGCAACTGCAGTGGCATTTTGAAAAGACTAATAAATCTTCAGACATCTTGTGCCTGAAACTCTTAGTGGTTAAAGCGTTTGATAATACAAGCAACAGCCTCGTTGAGTACTCAACAGGTAACAAAAGTTTCATGTCCATTAATGCTTGTGAACAACCCTTAGCAGACATTGTATCTTCACTGTTGTAAATGGGACATCTTGAGGCTCAATATTTTAAAACATGGTCCAACCTTACATGATGTATTAGAAATGGAGCCAGGATCTGCACACAATGCTCACCCTCAAACCAGTCAGTAGTATTTTTCCCCTGCTACCTGCCCCTATCTGGGACTGCTTGCTTTGGAATGCTTGAAGAGTAGTTTCAAATATCTTGAGTTGACCCAGGTACAGCTGTATTTAACAAACAGATGTATTCACATTATTCTATTGGACTTTCTCTGTGGCTCTAGTATGATGTTTTGTTTATTTGAGTGGCCTTCCTGACCACTAGATCTCTTAGCCAAAGTGGTCCAGGGTCATGCTTGGTCAAGCCAAGAACTGAGCTTAGACAAGATACAAGAGTCAGGGGCCAAAATAATGAATTTTAAAAGAAAGCAAAAGTCCTGAGAGACAGATGGTGAAGAATATAGGAGAGATGGAAAGACAGACAAAACCTAATTCAGCAATCCTTGATAGATAAGAAATATCATTGAATGCATAGAGCTTGATTCTAAAGGAAAGACAATTCATGTAGAAGGAAATTACCACCAGATGAACTAGGCTGCAAGCAAAAGAGGAATTTGGTTGTCATGGGAGTTGCAGTGGCACAGATTATCTAATCTTCATTGTATTCATTTTGTATGGATGTGTGAGTGATCTGTGTTTAGAGTAAAACTAAAATGAATACTCTCATGCACCAGTGCTGGTAATATACATATTTGGGCACAGTCTGCTGGATGACACATGAGGACCTAGCACAGGTGGAAAGACTTTGCAAAAGATGGATGTTACAGTGTTGTGTCATGAAATGAGCTCCGAAGGTAGGCAACCTAGGAGAATGTGGCCAAACATTTGATGGTTATGTGACCTTGGCCAGGTTACATAAACTTTCTAAGTCTTAAGTTTTCTTATCTGTAAAATGAGGACATGATTCACTCTCATAAATTTGCTGTTGGAGTAGGTAAGAAAATGGCACAGACATTTTGTACCTTTCTTGGCATACGAGTACAATAATACCCATTTCCTGGCCTTCCTGTGTTATCTTGTTCTTTTATCTCTGGAATAGGAACCATTAAAACATTTTTATATTATGCAGCAATTTCAGTATTACTTAAATTTTAAAATATTGTAAGTGATTAAATATAATAATATATGTAAAAGTGTTTTGAAAGTATAAAGTACTAAGTGACTCTAAGGTATCATTATTTTAATCATGTAATTATATAGCAGCAGATCCTATCTCTTAGCTCTTTTACCTCCTGCTGCTGACTCTCAAATCTGCATTTGTAGGACAAATCCCTGGAGGCTTCTTCTCCTTAGGGCTACACATCTCTGTTTTGTATTTCCTAAAAACAAACTTATCACCATCACTCCAAATTTGTCTTCCTCTTTCAACTTTTTCCTTTTAATACTTTGAACAGAGTAATACTCTGTTTTTTTTTTTTTTTTTTTTGTGAGGGATGATGTATCTGGGAATGCAGATCTGGGTGGTAGAATGAATTGAGCAAGATACCTGAAGTGTTAGAAAATCTTAATTTGAAATCTTTTTATAGGAATAGGGCATAAAACAGAAACACAATTTGACATCTGGAACAGGCAAATATAGCATATTCTGGAACTTAATTGCCTTGGTTCAAATCCCAGCTTTCTCTCCTATGAACTGTGTGTCTCCAGAGAAGCTACTAGACTTTACTGTATATCAGTTTGTTCACCCATGAAATGGAAGTATAAATACCAGCATTACCCTACAGGGCTGTAGTATTAATTGCATGACCTAGCATAGTTAATCTACATTATTACTGTTTTAACTATCATTATCATTAGCCTTTATACTTACATAGTCTTGGATGAAGCAGCTAGACTGGGAGCCAGTAGCTTATCCATGAAGAGGAGCAACACTGATTGCCTGCTAGAGAGTGTGATGGTTAAATGGGAAAGTCAGGAGGTGGAGTCACTCCTAAGCTATAGTCACTATCAAGAAGGTAGGTTGAGTTCTGGTGCCTCGAGAAGACAGAGGACATGGATGTGGCCCCCTTCTTGATTCTTTTCTATAGTCCCCTTGCTTAGGTTTGGTCAACTAGCTGTGAATTTGGACACTCCCTTTCATCTCACCTGGACGCCCATGAGGCTTGTACCTTGTTTCTGGGCAGCTCAGCCCATCACACACACTGCAGGAAAACACTTTCTCATTTGCTGTCTGCCCACTTCCCTTTCCCCATAATGGTTTGGATGACAATAGATTGAATCAGGATTAGACTTAAGGAAAAAAATCTTCTAACTTGAGCAACATGAGTTCTATATATGGTGGGCTCCAGATTATGAAAGTTCCCATTTGGGGTCTTGTAGAGAGCCCCTATAACAAGAAGCATGATTTCCCTTCTATTTGCCAGATGTATATTTTCCTTTGGCATCTCCTAAAAACTGGTCTAGGTTAAGTTGGGTATCCTTAGACGCTGATTATTGTATAGCCATAGAAGGACCCCAGTCTCTTCCTGATAATCTAACAATCATAAGCACTGGAATTGTTAGCAATTCTGTTTTCATGTATGATATGGTCAATCAGATTGGAAAGAGGGCATTTTTCTTCTCCAACAATGTGATGTGCTCTCCTTTGAGGTTCAGAGCCAATACAATGTGGATAGATTTCCCTACAAACAGGAGCTTTTTCATTGCTAGAACCTCTGTGGTACATTGCCTCAGTCACATGAGCTCAAAATCCCTGTTGGCTGGGATTCCTGCTCTCTGTCATTGACGATGCTGTGTTTGTCATCTAATGACTGCTGATTCTCCTTCTAGTACCTCTGTCTTTCTTGACTTCTATATGGTGGTCTCTCCATATTCAGTTGTTTTTCTAGTTTAACAACACAAGCTGCATCTTCCTAAGACAATAGTTCTGATAATTCACTCCAATGGTTTTCCTTATGTCCATTTACAGGGGTGGATTTTCCATGAAGCCAAAGAGGTGCAAGGTTGAGGGCTACTCACTGTCAGGGACTTTGGAATTATATTATTATAAAATAAAGGTAACCTTCTAACCTATATAAATTATGACTTCCATGTCTTTCTTCAATTTATCCTTGTTTGCATAGCCCATTGTATCAGAAGGTGATGGAGTAGTAAATATTTTTAAATCAGTATACCAAGAATTTTAGTTGAAAATACATTACAGTTCAGTTTAGCGGCACATGTTCTTTTTGGTTCATGACCATATTGTCCTATTGTGCTATTTTTCTGAATTTTTTGATGTTTTTGAAATCTGTCAGATTTTAAAACTTTTTAACATATTTTGACTTATGTCCTCATATAAAATAAATATTCATTTATGTTCCTAATTTTGCATGAAAACTTTTAAGAGGATACCCAAAATTAAGTATTTCAAACTCTCAATGACAATGATCATTCATCTCTACTTAGATTTTTAAATTTGGAATATAAATCCCTACTTTCTCCACTCTTCATGTTTTTTTCCCCCCTAAACTTCTCCAATCTTTATCACTTTCAGCATGAAAATTCTACTTGTGTTATTCACTCCTTTCCTACAACATGTCATACATACTTAGGTGTCAAAGTCTTGTGTGTCTCTAAATTCTATTCATTCTTTCAAACCTTCACCATATTGCATGTCAAGAATGAACATAACTAAGATATAGGCTCTCTATTCACCTCTCAGATTGTTTCTTTTGCTGAGAAGAAACTTATTAGTTTGAGTCCATCCCATTTATTGATTCTTGGTTTTAATTCTTGTGCTATAGCAGACTTATTAAGGAAGTTGGGGCCTGGTCCCACGTGATGAAGATTAGGGCCTACTTTTTCTTCTATTAGATGCAGAGTCTCTGGTTTAATTCCTAGGTCCTTGATCCTCTTTGAGTTGAGTTTTGTGCATATTGAGAGATAGGGGTTTAATTTTATTTTGTTGCATATGGATTTCCAGTTTTCCCAGCACTATTTGTTGAAGAGGCTATCTTTTCTCCAATGCATGTTTTTGGTGCCTTTGTCTAATATGAGATAATTGTAATTTTGTGGGCTAGTCTCTGTGTCCTCTATTCTGTCTACCAGTCTGTTTTGGTGCCAATACCATGCTGTTTTGTTACTATTGCTCTGTAGTATATTTTAAGGTCAGGTATAGTGATGCCTCCTGCTTCACTCTTCCTGCTAAGGATTAAAAAAACGTGTAATATTCCATATACAATGGAATATTACTCATCAAGAAAAGAGAATTAAATCATGCCATTTGCAGGTAAATAGTTTGGAGAAGATAATGCTAAGTGAAGTTAGCCAATCCCCCCAAAACAAATGTTTTCTCTGATATAAGTTTACTGACTCATAGTGGGGGTAGGGAACAGGAGCATGGGACAAATAGATGAACTCTAGATAGAGCAGAGGGGTGGGAGAGGAATGGAGGGGGCAGGGGGTTAGCAATGATGTGGAATATCATAGACATCATTATCCAAAGTACATGCATGAAGACATGAATTGGTGTGAACATACTTTATACACAAACAGAGATATGAAAAATTGTGTTCTATATGTGTATTAAGAATTGTGATGCATTCTGCTGCCATGTATTTAAAAAATAAAAGCAATTAAAAAAAGAATGAACATAACCAGGTTCATGGTTATTGACTATTTTCAATACCACAGACATTGTCATACTTTCCTTAACCTTGCTGTCACCAAGAAAGGAGGCATCATTATGATCATTCTGTAGATGAAAAAGATTCCATGTTGTTTCCCTGCCCAACATGATAGAACATATAAGTCAGGAGTCAGCATTTGCTATCACTTTGAGACAGCACCTCTTCAGGGTGACATCAGTCAAGAGTTATCTCTGAACCCCAAATGCCACTTTATAAACAGAGTTTTGTGCTATCAATTATTTTATAGATATATTCCTTACTTCCATCTTCTTTCTCCACCCTGACTAGAGTATATTAACCTGGACCACTGCAATGAGATCTTATGCTCTCCTGTTATCTTCTACAGACTCTAAAGCCTCCTGAGTGAAGACAAGTTAATGTTGACTAAACCAATGTATTAAAAAAAATGCTTGAAAAGCAGTTAAAGGGAGAATGCATTTCAAGTTCATAGGTGCTACAAAACTAAGAAAATAGTATCCTCTGCCCTAAAATTTTAATACTAGAATAGAAGAGAGATACTAAATAATGCAGCATGAATTGGTTTGAAATTACTTTGTATACAACCAGAGATATGAAAAATTGTGCTTTATATGTGTAATAAGAATTGTAATGCATTCTGCTGTCACATATAAATTAAAAAATGAAAAAAGAAACATTTGAATTGACAATGTCAGAAAATACATTCTAAAATATTATTTACAGAGAAAAGAAATTCAGATGTGTCTTGATTCTGACATTTTAGTGTTGGTGATTAGACTAAGGAGGGATTCATAGTTTTTAGAATGTAACTGAAAAATTACATAGGGATTTTAAAATGAATTTCTGTCCATCCACCTGAAAAATGCATAGTTTTTCAAAATCAACACAAATATGATGACGATGAGAATGAACAAATATGTTGCATATGAGAATGATGATGATGATGATGATGATGATGATGATGATGATGATGATGCCAATGCAGTCTTTTCTTCTTTTCTAAAAATCTCTTTTGATACCTAGTTGTCTATGTGTTATTTTGTGGAACAGCGGGAATGAGATTTATAAGCTTCAAATTAAAGTATTTATTCTCTCTCTCTGCTGTCCCTCTCTTCATTAGTATATTAAATTAGATGGAATATTTTGTTTTCATGCTGCATATACAAGTTATAGGTATCTGCCCCCACAGAGTATGTAGGAAAGTCTTTTAATATCTGGCCTGTGGTTTGGTCACAGAATCGTAGTTTTATAAAAATCTTAGCCATTTAGTAACTTAAAACATTACATCAAACTAATAATCATGGTGTCAAACACCATGCTAAATACTCTACAAATTTAGTTTCTTTTTTTTCAAAGCAAATCCACGGGGAACATATTATCTGTTACTATGGAGGAAACAGGCTAAGGTAGTTACATAATGACATTAATTGTTAACATTTATGCAATGCTTTCCATAGGTCAGGTAGGATTCTGAGAGTTTGTGCAACTGGCTTGCTTAATCCTTGCATAATGCTGTGAGTTGTACTTGGTAGGGAGGTCGTTTGTCCACATTTTACAGATGTAATCAGTGAGGCCAGGAGATGTGTAAGGACATGGTAAGGTCAATCAGCCACAAGTAGCAGACTTAGATTGGAAATTAGGCCATTCAGCTCCAGAAACCACCATCCACTCAAAGAATCTATTTAGAGAGTTTTTGAACTTAAGTCTTTCTTGTATTCCAAAGCCTATTTCCTTAGTTACACTATTTCAATCTCCCCTTTCCAATTACCTTACAAAAGGTTATTAAGCCTCTAGCTAGATCTCCTGAATTGCAGGGGTGGTGGGGACTGGGAGCTGGCTGCTCCTGGAGAAAGTTTATTCTATTTTTGAACAGCTCTTTTAGAAAAAGTCTTCTTTATATTGAGCTAAAATCTGCCTCTCTGTTACCTCTGTGTAGGGAGCAGGTTAGTAGAGAATGTCACTGGATATGAGGCTCCAAGGGAAGGTGAAGGCCAGGCTGACCAATGTGCCAGGCCACATGGCCTTATGAGACTGTATGAGACGGGCTGTAGAGACTGACCCCAGGAAATGCCCAACTGTTAAGACACACCCCCTGCTGCAGTTTGGAAGTGGATGCTCCATAAAGGCTGGTGTGTTAAGGGCTTTGTCCCCAGAGTGACACTATTGGGAGATGATAGAATCTTTAAGAGGTGGGGCCTAGTGGGAGGTCTTAGATCATCCAGCATATGACCCTGAGGGGATTTTGGGACCCCAGGCCCTTCCTGATACTCTCTTTTGATTCCTAGACATGAAATGAACAGTTCTGCTCTGCCATGTGCTCTCACTATGATGTGCTGCCTCACCACAGGCCCAAAGCAATGGAACCAACTGATGATGGATCGGAACCTCTAAAACTGTGAGCCAAAATAAAACATTCCTCTTTACAAGTGGGTCATCTCGGGTATTTTGTTATAGTGATAGAAACCTGACTAATACACTTCCCTGTGCTGCATCTGGGCAAATGGTAGATATTCCACCTGTAGGACAGGCATTGACATTTATCCATTGAACATTGCTGACTTTCTTCTCATCATTCTAATGTACGTGTTTTTTGTTTCTTTACTCTGACTTTTAGTGTATTAGCTACCTTTCTCAGCTTTCTACATTTATTAATACTATTTTTATTCAAGCTATTAATAATCTCCCAAGAAAGATCTTACTGGTTGGTCCCTAAAATACAGGTGGACATTGTCAATCGCTGCCATGCTGCAGTATTGTTGCCTGGTGATTGATCGCCTGCCATTCTTTTTTTTTCCTCACCAGACACTATCCTAAGATTTTCAGCAGCCAAGTGACTACTGGGTGACAAATAATAAAACTCATAAACCTTGGACTGGAGAAGCCAAGGACAGTGTTTAATGCTGTTGCACAGCAAATAAAATGGTATTTATGTTTTTGCTTAATGGAGAATCAATATTCAGCTATGACGTAATTGGAAAGTTCTTCTTTACATGCCCAAAAGGGGGAAAACGCTATGGATCTTAAAAAGCTTTCTCACTGCCACAGTTTCGAGAAGAACAAGGAGTTAACTGGGCAGAACACAGAGCAAATAGATGAGGCCAAGACAGAACTAGGGCACTGACCCAAGAAAGCAGAGAGAGGACCTTTCCCAGTCCATTAGTAACCCACAGCTAGCAGCTGGCCTTTTCCAGCCTCCACTAGAGTAAGAGGCTTTCCCTGAAAATACCTGGTCCTTTATTACTTAAAATATGGACTTTCAGTGAATTGTCAGAGAGGCAGGAAAAATTCTCTGCAATTACAATAATGATCATGGAATCAGGAAGCAATCTTGCCAGCCACCTGGACAGGGCTCACCTAGGGATGTATCCCACTAAGGAAATTAGCTGAGTCTGTGTTTGAGTTCATAATTATCAAGTTCCTCATCCAGAATAAGGTAGTGCCACTTCCAGGCCCATACTGTTCTGTATATTCATCAACACTGAGCGTAGGGGAATGCACACTGTTAGTACTGTCTACTATAGATAGCACAGAGATAGAGGAAAAGGCTGCAGGGACCTTGGGAAAGGTCTAAGGGTCCATTTGGGTAGGGAACTCTGGGCTCTGGGTACCTGCATCATGGTCTGGGAGGGAAGGTGCTGCATCTGTGGACCTGTTCCACTAGCCCATGCATACCTCAGCTCATGGTAAAGGGGATACTGAAATTTGTCCAGAGTCTTTGTAGATGAGTCTAAAAGCAATACTTCTTGGAATTTTTCCAATTCTTGGCTTTTCTCATTGAGGAACATTGAATGATGAGAAACTTCTAGGTCAACTGCCAGACAAGTTGCACTGTAGTAAGTCAAGCTAATTTTTAGAGCCAGTTCTCTAGACTTTTTTTAGAATCACTCTCTTCCAAGTATCCAGTGTTTTCCTGCAAATTCAGGACATCCATTCCAATAGCATAAAATGTAAAATGTTCATTCTTTAAATGATGACCTGTTTTCCAAGGTATGTGTGTAGTTTATTTTAAAAGAATTGGCATTTAAACGGAGGAATGTATTCCCTAATGATGGAATTTCTACCATCAAATATATTTGAAGGACAGGGACTTTCTTGATATAAATCTGTATTATTTTCCTAGGGTTGCTATAACAAATGGCCACAAACATGGTACTTTAAGAGAGCAAAAATCTATTCACTGATAAGTTGTAAAGACTGGAAGTGTGAAGTTAAGGTGTGGGCAGACACTTCCTCTGACATTCTAGAGAAGCATCCTTCCCTGCCACTTGCAGCTGGTGGCTCCAGGAATTCCCTGGTTTATGGCTGCATCACTCTTGCTTCTGCCTCCATCTTCATAACCTTTTCTTTCTGTCTCACATTGCCCTCTGCCTTTGTAAGAGTACCTGTCTCTGGGTTTAAGGCCTACTTGGACAATCTAGGATGATCTCAGCTGGGGATCCTTAGCTTAATTACATCAGCAAGGATCTTTTTATCCAAATTACATCACATTTACAGGTCCTGGGTGGTCATATCTTTTTTTTTTTTTTTTTTTTTTTTTGCAGGGAGTCACTAATCGATTCACAAAAATATCAAGTCCCCATTGTGACCTCCTCCTGCAACAAGGCCATGAACATTAGTCTAGAATGGCAGATTGCTGGGAAAGTTGACAGTCGTTCTCACAGGAAACGAACTTCAGTTGTTCTGGAGAGATGTGGAAGAGAACATTCATATTTGAGAGCATGCAGAGAAGGTCCTGGTAATACTTTTTGGAAAGTTTTAGCAAAACTGAAAGCAGAGTAAAGAATAAATCAACTCTCATTACTTTTCAAAACCCTTCATTTTGTCACACTAATTCCTAGAGATTAAACAAATTTTAGGTCCAAAACTTAAATTCTATTTATTTTTCCCCTGGGCAGGGAATAGAAAGAACTATGAGCGACTGAACTATTAAGTTCAAAGTTTTTTAATTATATTACTTCATTTTATCTTCATACTAACACTGCAATAAAGATATCAATGTTCATACCCACTATACAATTGTGGAAACTGAGTCCTCGAGACATCAAGTAACTTGCCAGGATCCCACAGCTGGGCATTACAGGAGCTGAGACACACGGGTGCGTGCTCTTCCTAGGATTCCACCACCCATCATTAGTCTAGAGCAGACCCAGCTCTCCTCATTGACAAGCTTGACATGATAGATTTTCCTCCTGAAACAACTCTGAAGTGTCCTTTACCACCAGAAAGAGAAGCTTGAGGCTGAGGAATAGATTTTCTTTCTACTTACACTATACTGCCATCCAGTGGGGAAATACTTGATGGCAGAAGATAACATTTCTGATTTTTTCATGTTTTGGTATTGGTACCTAATTGGCATTAAAATTCCCCTTTTCAGATGTGACCCTATCAAAATTTAAAATACACATCCACTTCCCACCTCTGCCTCTGCACACACGTGCACACTCCTCTTGTTCACCTCTTCTACAAATGTGTACCTATCCAGACATCTTCCGTATAGCAGAGGAATGAAAAGGTCCGGCCCACCTTTACCACTAGGTATATGATTATAAATGTCGAGTAGTTAAAAATCACAAGCAAATACACATCTTCCGCCAGTTACTTCCCTATGAAACATTGCCCCTTTTGGAATCTTCTAATTTGATCAAAGGGGAAAAAAAATTTAAGGGACAGTTCAGACAACAACAACTAATAGATTTGCTTTGGTACATTTTTTATACCTCATGACACAATTTATTTCCATTGAAGTTATATACTAAGCCATGATGGAGATAACACCAGTACTGATGGTGCTTAGGGCACTTGAATTTGCATTAGCTGCCAGGAAGAGACCAATATAACACTGAAAGCCTCTGTGTAAGTGTGAAGAGGGAAGTGGCAGATCTGATCACCCCATTATAAACTACACATTCTCAGCCCAATTCTCATTGCTACCATAACAAATCACCACAAACATCGTGGCTTTAAACAATATACTTGCACACTGTTACTGTTTTGGAGGTCAGAGTTTAAAATGGATCTCACTGGCTACAAAGCCAAGATATCAGCATGCTGATTCTTCTGGAGGCTCTAGGGCAAAATCTATCCTCTTGCTTTTCCAGCCTCCAAGGCCACCTGCATGACAGATGGCATGGGCTTCTTCCATCTTCAAAACCAGTCAGTTCTCTTCACACTGCTGTCCTGATGACTCGTTCTCTTTTGGGCCTCCTTCCACTTTGAAGGACCCTGTGATTACATTGTTTCCACATCAATAAATTCAAAATAATATGCGATATTCTTATATTCAAGGCAACTGATTAGTAACCTTGATTTCATTTGCTACCTTAATTCCCCTTTGCCAAATCTGATATAACTTATGCACCGGGTCCAGGAATAAAGGCTTGGATTTTGGTGACAGTGGTGGGACTTTATTTTACTTCCTCACATCCAAGAGAAGAAAAATATACACTGGAGTATTCTGGCCTAGGGTGATGGCAGCCTGTGAGAGCCAACCTCTGTCCCGAGCCCTTTCTTAACTCTCCCTCCTCCTTCCCATCATCACATTCTGCACAGCACTTCATAAACATGAGGACACACCCCCAGGTGCTACCTTCGTTTTTTTGCAAGCCACACTTTGTAGGTAGGTGCATAGATTCTAATGGTATTAAATTTAAATCTCAGATTCATCTCAAGATGGGAGAATCTGAATTATTACTCAGCATTTCTAAGTTCAGTTTCTTTTTCCTTTTATTTATTTATTTTTTATATGAGGGATTGAATTCAGGGACTCTTGACCACTGAGTCACATCCCAGCCCTATTTTGTATTTTATTTAGAGACAGGGTCTCACTGAGTTGCTTTAGAGCCTCATTGTTCCTGAGGGTGACTTTGAACTTGCAATTCTCCTGCCTCAGCCTCCTGAGCCCCTAGCATTATAGGCATGTGCCACCATGCCTGGCTAAATTCAATTTCTTTATCTTCAGAAGTAATTTTTATAACTATTGCAAAGTTTTATGAATTTGTAGTATCAAATACGTTTTGAATGCATATTTTATTTTCAGGTTTTTTATAACATTCAAAAGTCGTAAAGCATGAATTCCCTGAATATAGAAACTAAGGAGTAAGATGCTGTTTTGCACAATAAAAATTTTTAAAAAGACACCAAAAGCCAAAGTTTTACTTTTATCCCTATGGTCTTTTTTGATTCCCCCCAACAGAATCAGACACCTGAACACTTCCCACCAGGCCAATGAAACTTCACTGGAATAAATAGGGAGATAAGGGCATGACCATTCCTTTCTGGATTTGTGCCACCCCTCACACTCATAGGTGGCAGTGTTAAAAAGGGCCACTGTGTTTTGGCTGTAGCCTCAGCTCTGCTCCTGATCTTTGTAAACATCAGGAGATGGAGATCTAGATGAAGACTAGAAAACCTAAAACTCTGTCACACAGTTCTCTGGTTGTGGAAACTTGTTCATCAAACACTGGGGACTTCCGAAGGAGCTAAAGGTAGGGTGACAAACCCACCCTATCTCCTGGGTTTACCTGGCTGAGGCCCAGAGGGGGTCAGAGGGACACCTGGCTTAATTAATGAGGGCATTGCAGAGGTGTGGACAATTGTACTTTGGAAAGAGCATTTTGTGGCACTGTTGTGAATATGTCAAGCACCTCTTCCAGAGAAAGCCATGGAGCCTGATATTTGAAAAGTCCAACCCTCCTTTTGATGTAAATGCCACAGACACAAAGCTGATTCAGTTTGACAAGATTGTGAGCCCAATCCAGTTAAGCTGAGGCTAGGGCCACATTCCAGCAGAAGTGGGGAGTTAGTAAACCCTACCAGAGGATGTCTAGAAACAATATGCTCAGGAATCCAACACAGTTTGTTCCTCTCTGCCTCACTGGGAACCTTTTAAAATCTGAAGTTGTCTTGAAGTTAGCTTTCATAAAGAAGCAGCTAGTTCATCTCAGAACTTGACATGTATTGGACTAGTTGATGGTATTTGTCTATTTAGTTGATAATTTATGACATGTATTAATAAATGAAAAGCATGCTACTAAGAAACATATACATGCATTATTTATTTAAAGTATTCAAATCCACTATAAGGTGTATAGAATTAGTAGTCAATGAAGCAGAAGCCTGAAGAAGTCAAACGACAACACCCAAGTTCACATAGAGGGTAAAGAGTAGTATTAATCTCCTTGCATACCTAGCTGCTATGATTTCCACTGGTACTTATGAATAAAGAACCCAATATATATATATGAGCAAATTAATGAAATTGTTTAATATTAAACAGATTTAGTAGCCTTTTATTTCATATTCAAATGCTCAGTCTTTCTCAGACACAGTCTGTTTTTGTTCCCTCTCTAGACTTTGGTTGCCACCAAACCCTCCCGGCTAGAACCCCTGAGAGGGGCCAGTTTTGGATGATTCAAGGAGTGGAGATAATTAAGAGCAAAATAATGGATCAGGAACTAACATTTGCCCTTTGTTTGGGATTAGAATATCTAGGTGATAAAAGATTTATTTAATAAAATAATAAGTGGATAGATGAGAAAATGGCTGTAATCGTTCTAAGGTATAACCAATAGGAGAAAATAGGCATTAATACCCTGTCTCTTTCATCCCATTCATGAGATCAAGGAAGAATGACTTGTGTAACAATTTCTACCACATGTTACATATTCATTATGAAAAATTTTTTTGGTTGTCAATCCATTAAATTAAAATTGTCTTCCTACTCTATGATTTTTTTTTTATTTCTACAATCAGTGGAAAGGGATCAATGGGGTTTTGTGATAAGCTTCTGTGAATAAATCTAGTAAGCCAAAAGGAACATTCTGCTTAAATTTGTTTTTTAACAGACACAAAAAAAATATAAAAATTGAACGTATTTAGGGAGACCCATGTTATGTTTCAAGAAATGTAAACATTGTATAATGTTTAAATCGGAGTAAACATCTCTCTTCAAACACCTATTATTTCTTTCCTCTAAGCTTTTTTAAATGTATAGTATAGCTGGTTGCTTTTTGGCTTATGCCTATAATCCCAGAGGCTCAGGAGACTGAAACAGAAGGATTCCAACTTTGAGAACAGATTTAGCAGTTTGGCAAAGTCAGAAACAATTTAGCAAGACCCTGTCTCAGAATCAAAAATGAAAAGGGCTAGGATGTGGCTCAGTTGTTAAGTGCCTGGTTTCAATTCCTGTGTCAAAAAAAAAAAAAAAAAGGACAGTACAATATTTTATTGTTATCTATAGTCACCCTGTGCACCAGTACTTCCTGCTTCTTTAATGCTGGCTCCTCATTGGTAGCCCAACCCATCCTTCCCCCCATGGCACAGGATTGTTTTGAAGTCAACTCTCAGTGTTTTCCCCTTCATTGGCCTAGACTAGCAGTGAAATTCAATCACATCCCATCATAGTATACTTGTTTTTCCTGTAATGAGGAGAAGATGATGAGTAGAAATATATTAACTGATAACAAGTCCCAGAATGTATCATAAAATATTAAGTAATATGTTCCCTTTCCTGGTAATGGAATTTGATATAGTTGCCCATCTGTTAAAGAAACAAGTTGCATTTGTCTCAAGGTCACGTTGACTCAATGTTCTGAAATCACATGGACCCAGTTTTAAACTGAGTAGCTTCTTGCCTGATAAAGTTATTCGGTTTTTTTTTTTTGAATGATTAAAAATAAAAGTTAAAGGCTAGGGTTGTAGCTCACTGGTAGAGCACTTGCCCAGCATGTGTGAGGCCCTGGGTTTGATTCTCTGCACCGCATATACATAAATAAAGATCCATTGACAACTAAAAAAAAAAAAAAAGAAAATATAAAAAAATACAAATTAACAAGTTAATAATAATTAAATGTTTTTTTTAGATGAGGAGGAAATGGTTAATTACAATAAGAGACTAATAATAAATAGTTGATGAGATATATTTTTTTCAGCAACAAAACTGAATAAAAGCTATCCAAGCTGGGAGATTTTCTA